GGGGTAGAAGAAGACAGAGACAGAAAAACAGAGAGGAAAAGAGAAGAAGAGGATAGCAAAAGAGAAGCTAAAAGTAGCCTGTACTCACCACAAACGGAATGTGTTTCCAAAAGATTTCAGTAATCCAATTAGCAGCTCGATTAATTCAAAACTTGGCCTGAGGGGAAAACGAAACAATTGTTTTTAACGAAATTAGTGCGTATATTAAACATTCAAAAAGAAGGAAGGACAGGGAAGTTCAATATGCGGATACATAACAAACTAAACATAACGGTTTATACAACGGGGATGATTACGGATGTACGCACACCCGTCTCCTGTGTTGACAATGATAAGTGAAGGAGGCTGGGAGTAGGTATTTATACCAAGTCCATATTTGGTGTTAAGATTGTTAACTGCATTTAAGTCTCCGCCACTGATGAGTACGTCATCTTCCGGGTCATGTGTCAGTAAGAGCGGGAAAACTTCTTACCATGTTCAGACAGACACACAGACAGACAGATCATTACATGATAAAACTGCATCATGATGAACTCCCTACTCAGACAAGACCTAAATAATATCGAAAAAGAACCTCAACTCATGTTGTAGACAACAAACAATGCGCATGATAACGGCCATATTTCTCCAATATCATATAATAATAATAATAATAATAATAATAATAATAATAATAATAATAATAAGTAATAAATAATAATAATAATAATAGTTCACTCGTCAACGTCTGACAATGACCAATGCATTCGCAGAGAAGGATGTTTCTCGAGCGAAAGTTAAGATGACTTGTTGCTTCAGCTATGGCCGATGAGACACCAATTATTCTTGCAGAGAAAATTGGCCACATTTTTTAAGCATTTAAAAAACTAATTTCTGTTTGTAGTTGTGCTGGGGAAAAGTAAGACGTCAAAGATTTAAGTGGCGAGGAAGGAGGATGTTGAACCTACTAACCATCACTTACCCTCTTCAACAGCACTCAAAAACAAGGAAGGTAAAGGTAGTGTTTGTTTATTTGTTCTTCTTAACGTCAGCAAACTGGCTTAATAAACGAGGAAAACAAAACAAAACAAGACAAAACGAAACAACTCTGCGCAAATAGAAGCACACCGACACAAAACAGCCACTCAGTTCTAGAGAAAAGCAACAAAGACAAAAACAATAGAGGGAAAGAAAAAGAAAGAGGACCTACCAGGGGCGTGTCCAACCACCCGCGACACAACGCAGCAGGTTTTTTAACGCCGGTGACAGGAAGGCTGTTGTTGTTGTTTTGATTGGTTTTTTTTATTGTGTTGTTGTTGTTGTTGTTTTGTTGTTGTTGTTTTGTGTTTTGGTTTGGTTGTTTTTTTTATTTTGTTGTTGTTGTTGTTTGTTTTGGGTTTGGTTGTTGTTGTTTGTTTTGGGTTTGTTTGTTGTTGGGTTTTTTTCATGGTAAACGTTTTACACCCCCTTCAACAGTATAAAAATCATTTAGGAGGCGGGTTGCACAACCTGACCGGTTAGAACCCACCCCGGCTGGGGATGATAAAATATTCCAGCAGACAAACATTCTAGGAAATCGAAGCTCCTGATAATAGTCAGAAAGTACTGGAAGAAAACAGTAAGCAAACAGAAACTATGAACAGAACCCTACAACGACCCACAGCATGTCATTACGAGACGTTATCAACTGCAGTGAACGTAAGATATTATGGTGGAGATCATTTCAACATCGACCATCATCACACTCCTTTCAACTCGCACTCCTCTCATATTTCGTTTTGAATGAAAAGTGCCTTTTTACCGCTCTCTATTTCTCTCTGCTCCGATATACAATCTATGACATGCACTTATGAAAAAACTTGGGAGAGTCGATCGGCAATCTGATAAGTGCAGATTGCATTACGCTCTCACCGCATGCAACGACCTTATGTAGATAGATGAAGAGAACTGAGAGGGGACTTCCACCACTAAAAGCACAGTGACGCGACAACGAGGCAATGACACGGACCAATTTGAAGTCCTACCCAAAAGACAATATGGGACATAAAAAACAAGAAGTGTAATAAAAAAAACGTTTTTCAGCTTTTGTGGCACAACTTTCAGTGTAAAGAGAGTGTAAAGCTGTACTTAAATATATGAATTTGTCTGAAATCTGACTTACAGATCATTAAGATGACTCTTTTACTTTGTGCATTGAAAACAACACAAGTCAACGAAAAAATAAATATAATAAAAACATAGAAATTGAAAAGGGGCTTGATGTGTCCAGTTTGTTTGTTTTTCAGAACAGACACCTTCCATCAAACAAACAAACAGTTACACACACAAACACACACACTCACAGACACAGACAGACACACAGACAGACTCACACACACACAAACACACAAACACACACACACACACACACACAAACGCACGCATGCGCGATAAATGAAAGTTGATAAATGAAAGTCTATCCTTTTGAAACAGGCAAAGCGATGAAAGTTGTTAGAGTTAGAGAGGATAATATTTGCCATATCATACGCAAACAAAAACTTATCGTTCCTAACACTACAAGGCTTAGTCAATTCACCCCGTGCAGAGAAATGCCAAGCACTCTTGAGAGGCTCGAGATAATACACAGCCTTCTCCCTTTTTCCGGTGTTTATCACTGTGAACCTCGTCATCTTTCGCGCTTTTCTTATCTCTTCATATGTACCCAGCTCATTCACAAAGCAGAAAATGTATTTCGCCAAAGGAATACCGCCTTTAATCTGGACACCGATACATGAAACAAATTTGCAACCCCCCCCCCCC